CTGCAGTCAAATGTCAGCTAGGCTGCTCTCTTATCTGAGGCTCTACTTGGAAAGGATTTGCTTCTGAGCTCATGTGACTGTTGGCAACTTCTTGTGGGCTCTTGGGCTGAGTGCCTCACTTTCTTGTTGACTGTGTCCTGGAAGTGGCCCTCCCATGACTCATACGATGGGCAGCTCATCCTGTGGCACCTGGCTTCTTCGAAGCTAGCAGGGGACAGGATCTTATAGTAGTGTGGACAGTACAATATTATGTGATGTAATCACATGGATTCCATCATTTCTACCTCGTTCTGTTGGTTACAAGCCAATATCAGGTCCTCCCATCACCATCCTCACTCAAGGGGAGGGGATTCCACAGTCGTGGATAATGAGAGACCCGGATCCTGGTAGCCATTCTGCAGTCAGCCACATTTGAAGCTGGCCAGGAACATGGCTTTTCTTCATCTTACCCTCCTCTCTGTGCATCCTCTTACTTAACTAGGAGCATGTTTTCCATCCCTTCTGTCTTCTTTCCTCCTTCTGACCTGCGGGGAATTCAACAACCCCAGGTGGCTTTTCCTTCTCTCTTTGGCTATAGAAATGCAAGAAAAAAGGTAGTAGAAATTCTCAGTAAGCAACTCTCACACTATTGGGCCCTCCCTTGACAGCTAGAACTTTAAGTGTGTGACGCCCTCCCTAACAGGCGTTTCTAAGTCATAATGTGGCTTATGTTGTATAAAGGACCTAAGTATCATCTTCTCAGCCTTTCTGTCTTCTGGTCACTATTGTCTTTAAGTAAGCGCTGAATTCCAAATCTAGTTCACTTTCATGGTGCATCCTTTTAGGATCTCTCGCTATTACTGTTTTTGCAGTCAGTAGCAGTTTTGGTTCTTTTACTCTTTGGCCCTGTTGACTGCCCCTTTGTATAATTTCCCTCTTCTCTTCAATCATTCTGGGGTATGTCTTGCCTTTCCATGGCCTGCCCTGGTCCCCATCAGTCTTCGGTTACTGCTCTTTCTCCTTGATGAGAAGGCAGTGTCATTTAGTGGGTAAGGACGAGTATTGAAGTCAGGTTGCCTGGGTTTGCAGCCTGACTTCATTGCAGCTCTGCTCTTTATTAGCTGAGGAATCTCGAGCAAGAGATTCAGTTTTGTGTCTATATGGCTGGTATTAACATTTTTTATTTTTCCACTGGCCAAAAGCTGCTGCCACTCTTACTTTCTCCCAAGATAGAGGAGCAATTTGCACTTTCTTCCCAAATGAAACTTGACCCCGATCCATTTGTTGGTCTCCTGGTGAAGTGAGCTGGAACGTATTTAAGCCTAGGAGGACAGCTCTTCTTTAGTGAATGTGATTGTCGCCTGCTACTTGCTTTGCCTCCTAAGGATGAGGACAGTATTCTTATAGTAGCAACAACATTTAAGGAGCACTCACTGTTTGCCATGACCCTTATTAAAGTTTGCAGGCATCATGTCTTTTAACCCATGTAGCAATATTTAGCTGTAGTACTGCTATTACTTCCGTTCTATAGAGGAAGAAACTGAGGCTTAGAGAAATTAAACAACATGCTCAAGGACTTCAGAGAAGACTGGGGAATGAGGTTTTGTGTGATTGCAAAACACATGCTCTCAATGACCACAGGGCACCGTCTCCCATAGAGGCAGCCCAGACCCTCTTAGTGAGGTAACTCCTTAGGGGGAAAGAGCCCAAGAATCCAAAACAATCATGTCTTATGGGCGTAAGAGCTTTTATCCACTTCTGCAGCCCCAGTGCAGATGCCATCCCCTAGCCTCTTAGCTCTGAGTGCCCTTGCTTTTGATGCTCGCCAGACTCCTTCTGCCTTGGGAGCCAAGGCTGCCCTAGAGAAGAGACCATTCATTACAAAAGGAGCGTATTCTTTTTGGCCACGTATTTGTGTGATTGTTATGGAATCTCAACATTGTGCATGAAGTATGAATAAGAAATACTGGGCATTGGATAAACCCATGCAGGACTTATATATTGTATATTCAGAGCATTCCCTTTAAATGCATCAGCTAACTTAATTGCTTACCTTCTGGTAATACTGCCTTTGCTCTGCATTCTTTTAAATGAACTTCATCTCAACCACCTTACACCCCTTTCCCCAGCTCCAATACTTTAACACAGGGACTTCTGCCAAATGGTTAGTTCATTAAAGTCAGTCGTTGAAGTCACTTGGAATTCTTTTAAGTAACCATAGTGGTGGCAAATTACCTCTTTGAGGATAAATTGGATTCCATGGATCTATTAAAATATTTTCCACTCTAGAAAATAAAGTGGTTTTTGTTCAGAAATCAGGAGTGACTACACTGAGATGAGACAGATTTTCTTGTGGGCAGTAACCGAACACTGATTTTAGAGTGAGTACTCAACTCACTCCCAGCACTCAGCGTCACTGGGTGAGTCCTGTGGGGGATGCGTTAGAAGGGGTCAAGGAACACTTTTTAGATAGGAAATTCTGTGTAAATGTTGGTATTGCCTCACCTGTGTGGCCTTTTTTTTTTTTTCTCGAAAACACCTTACAAATCACACTAGTGATTAGACTGTCACGTGAAGCTGGCCTAGGTAGTAGGGTGCCTGCCATTCTCTGTGTGGCTTGTATTCCCCGTAGACGTCTGCTGAGTACTTGGCATTACGGTGTACGCCAGAAGAATTAGCACTGATAGAAATGATTCATGACTTCTTTTAAGAATTTATCATAAAAAAACCTCAGCACTGATATGAAGAATGCTAACAAATGCATACCTAGAGCTTTCTGTTTGCACCGTAGTAAAGGCTACCAACTAGGGTGGGGATTTTTATTTCACACTTCAGAGCAAAATAGAAAAGTTTTATATTGTTGCCCAAAGTATGATTTGAACATCTCTCAAGATGTTCACACAGGGGAAGGCTCTGAATTTAATGGACTGTGTACCATAATTGCAGTGGTGACCATGAATTTGATAGACTGTCATACTTGGACTAGAGAACAGTAGCTGCAGTCATATTTTGGGGACATATAGTGCCCTATGATGGGCACTATACTGCATCATCTCTAATCTAAATAACTACTCTCCAAGATATTTCATAGACTTGGAAACTGAGGCTCAGAAGGATTAAATTGCCTAGCAAAGACCACACTGCAGTTAAATAGCAGAGGTAGAGTTCAAGCTTATTTATTTTAAACCAGTAATGAAATCTTCTGCATTTCCCATCATTTTAAAAGGCATCTAAACAATGCCAAGTGACCAGGCAGCTAAAGCTATAGCTAGCCAGTGAGCATGTTCCTTGACTCCCCAGTCCTTCCCTGCTATTCTTACTGATGTTGGCAAGTTCTTTCTTTGTTACTAGGAAACCCTGTAGATTTACGTGGTGTTTGCTTCGTTTTCTCCCTCCTCTATGTCACCCACATACCGTATACAACCACCGAGCGGTTTGGATAACCTGAGGTTTCTGTCTATTCTATAACTGAAGCGACTCTGTCTCTCATGGCACATCAGTGTATGAAGTCATTTTACAATTATTGTTAATCTCTCTAAGTGACTTAACACTGAGGCTTCAGACGAATAAAGTTGGTAGATCCTTATTTTATGTGTTGTCTACTTGGAGCCAAGTGTTCTTCATCTGAAATGAGTGATTAGTTGCATCCTGACAGGTAGAAGTTGAATGTTTTCATTGGGTGCCCTTCTGTGAAGGGAAATAAAGCGGAACTTTCTATTCCTGGGTTGTAGACCCTATAATGTTATGAAATTAAAAGACAAAAAGTAAAATATTCTGACTGACGTCCTCTTGGAAAAAGGGAGGTACTTTGCTGGGCATATTCCATTATTTCATGAGTTATATAAATCTCCAGCATTTGGGTTGGACATACGGACAAAATAGCAAGTCTGATCATTAGGTATTCGGTGTTCTTGATGCTGAGATAATGTCCTTGTCAGATCGCAGCGCACTTGACTTTGGCAGATGGTATTTTTCATTGTATTTGATACTTAAAACCACACGGTATAGTAGGAGGCATTTGATCCTTTTTCAGAAACGAAGAAATTGAGATTGGGAAAAGCTGAAATGATTTTCCCAAGCTCACATGGCTACTAAGCGGTAGGAATTCTTTTTTAACTTTATTTTTTATTGTTTACCCTGTTGCAGTTGTGCCCATTTTCCCCTTTTTGCCCACCTCCACCACACCCTCACCCCTCTTTCCCTCCAGCTGTCACCACACTACTGTCTGTGTCTATAGCGGTAGGACCTGGCACCAAGGTTGTACCTCTGTGCATCGTCTTTTGGTGGTTTGGGTTGCCTAATTATTTACCTTTCCTATCCTGTAAGTTTTCAACACTTTTGAGAAATAGAGCAAGCATTCAAATGGGAGTCAACATAGTACCATAATTACTGATAAAGCAGAATTAGAGAACACAGAAGTGCCAGTTACTTCCTTCTCTAAAACATGCATTGGGTCCTAGAAACCCTGACCTAGTCACCCAGCGACAGCTGGAGAGAAGCTGGGGCAGACAGAGCTGGCTGGCCTCTCAGAAGCAGGAAGCCCGTTGTCTTGTTTGCTGTGTGGAAATGAGTGGGCTCCAGGTGGCCCCTTCGGCCTAGCGCAGTGCAGTGGCCAAGCACTGAGCCAGCCCTTTTTCTAGTCTTCCCAGGCAAATTAGTCTCTCAGGTTTGAGAAGAAGGAAGGAAGGGATTGGGGAGGACAGACAGAAAGTGAGTTCCTTCATACTGTTTTCTTCTGAGGAAACAGACTACAGATCTCCTCCAGAACACAAAAGGGTGGGTATTACTGGTGATCTCCATCCCAAAACCAACAGTAGAAATACTGCTGTTTAATTTTTGTTTCTCTTGTGGTAATCTTCTATGCTATTCTCTTCTTCCTTTTTGATTGAAAAGAAAAGAAGAGGCAAATATTTTCTTTTCTCTGTGTTTTGGGTATAAAGGAAGGAAAAAGACTAATGTAGAAACCAAGAAATGGTTTTTATGTGACATATAACTAACCATATTCCTTCTCCTCATGACAGGTGACAGAAATGTACTGGAACAATGGGAAAAGCCAGTAACTTATAGGAAGCCAAGATGACGAGAATTTTTTTAAATCATCAGTAAGTAAAATTTTGTTAGCCCTCCAGAATTCTTTTGACTACCTGTAAGAAAATTCTTATATGGCATGAGGCTTTCCTTTTTGATTCAGAAATTAAGTTCTCATGAAAGTGAATTGTCTCCAGAGAGAGAGACAAAACAGAACAAAATCTGGGCAGTTTAAAGATCACAGGGGCTTGTATAAAACCTTACAGAATAAAATGGAGAGAAGACAGGAACCTGGATCAGATATTTCCGTGTTTCTTCTAAGAAGCAGTTTCTTCATTCTTCTAACTTGCCCTTTAGAAGGGAACAATTGAAGCCTGAAATTGCTAAGTAACAGCTAAGATTGTGGTGGTTGTTTTTATTTTAAATCTCACCCACCTAGTTTTCAAAGCACATTTTTTATTGAACCTTTAAAAAATGTCTTGGATATTTCAAAACATTCATTCACGTCAGTTCCCTTATGTAATCTTAAAAAATTATTTTCCTTATTTCTTCTTAGCACCATAGGCATTTATGGTTTCTACTGAGCCAGGGATGAACTTGGATTGTTGCAAAAGTTATTCTTGTCCATTTCAAGCAGAAACTTGTGGATAGAAATCTGAGAGACTTGCCTCTGGATTAGGAAATATTGACCTCTGTCTTAATCAAGTTGAATAGGGTATCTTGGTAGCTTTGAAAGCAAACATGGAAGTAATAATTAACAGAGACATTTTCACCCAGGTAGAATGTTCCAATTTGTAATTTCTCTCATCAGAGTGGACCTTATGCTATGTAGTGAACACCTCTAGTATAGATGAAATTTTGACTAGGGAGCTACTAGGTATATAATCTTCAAATGTTTAAATTGTACAACCTCACATTGGGTTTAAATCAACACACTCAGTGGTTTGCTGGATACTTGGGAGTCGTGGGTTCTGATGGTGAATTCCCATATGAATAAGTCAGGCTTACTCCATCTTGGGAGTTGACGATCAAGCCTGAACGCACAAAGTTATCATTTCCAAACAAATGTGGTTGAGGTTATAAGAAATATACCAGGTGGGGCAAAATTAGGTTTACAGTTGTGAGTATGCAAAACACAGTTTATTCTTGTATTATAATTATTGTATTATTTTCTATACGAACAGCTATTAACTTACTTTTACCCCACCCTGTATTAAATACTCAGGGAACATTCGGGAGAGAGAAGCTACCTGCGTGGCCAGAGTGGGCTGGTCAGGGAGGGCTTCCGAAGCAGGTGGCATTGGAACTGTGTATTTAACGATGAATGCCTTTGATCTAAAATAACTTTCTAAAAATTATAAAAATGAACAATGCTATTTGGAACTTTAAAAATGTAGAAATTATTAAGAGTAGAAAACTCATCAATATTATCACTACCCAGAGATATCATTATTAATCTTAGGGGTTTTTATATTCTGCCATACTCTCTCTGTGCCTAGATCAGACACACAGTTTTTTTCCTCCCTAAAATGGAGCATTATAAATATTATTCTGAAACCTGATTTAATTGACAGTATATCAACACCATGCCACATCAATAAATATACATCCATATCATTCTTTGGTATTGTTATATAGCATTATATGAATATGTAGTTTACGATGTACTTAACTACATTAGTGGGCATTTTAGTTGCTCTCAACTTTTCCCTGTAATGAGCATCTTTGTTCATGAACTGAGTGTGGTGCACTTACCGAATTACTTGTGCAGGATATTTGAATAGAGTTGCGATGGCACTTTAGGGAAGGAACACTAGGTAGAAGAGACAGCTTGAGCAAAGGGGCAGAAGTGGGAAGGGAACATCCCATTCTGGGGAAAGGCTGGCCTTGTAGTTCAGTGGACTGCAGCTGGGCCCTGGCAGTAGTGCCAATGACGGCAGGGGGCAGAAGGTAGAGGGTCTTCCATGCTCAGCCCTTTATTCATTCTCAGCTGGGGGCCATACTGTAATCTATATCATCCTTCAAATAAAGATTCTGAATACCTTCATTTTTTCTTAATTTTCCTTATTTTGGAGAGAAGTAAAAATTGTTAATAATTCTGCTTTCCAAAACATTTCGAGTCTTAAAAATCAACCCATCAGGGAGCGAACAGATAATAGAAGCCGAGAAAGGCACCTACGTCCATAGAAAAAAACTGTAAGAGGAGAGGAGCTTACGGTCTTGAAAAGTAAAGGAAACATCATTAGTAAATGTATCTTCTATGCTTTATGATTAAAATGTAAAGATTAGGAAACACATATTACAATAATAATGCGGTCCTATATTTACTGGGCGCTTCCATGTGTTTGTGTGTACCTCACTTTACTTAATCTCTCAAAAAGCTTCTTAGCAAGACTCTAGGATTATCTCCATCTCGCAGTGAACTGGAGGCCTGGAAGGCTGGCTTCGGAGAGAGAACACCACACCTGGAGTTCTGGAGTTCAGGTGCTGCTGTGCCCTGGGCAGGTCCTGCTGGGATGGTGTGAGGACACAGTTAGCACAACCTCTGAAAGGTTACAAAGACAGCATAAAGTACCATAGATGTGGGGGGACTGCCTTTTATAATTGGACACATTTTTTTTTATCATTAATGGAAGGAAGAAAACATTTCTCTAGCTATTATCTATTGCCTTTGTGGTGATTATGTTCTTGTCAAACATTTGCTCTTCCTTCCTACCCCCCTCCTACCCCTGTGTGAGGATTATGCTTTCCCACCCCGTCCAGGGTGGATCCCCACGCCATGGCCCGAGGACTCAGTGTGGCCCATGAAACGTGAACGACGACACATGCCATTTCTGAGAAGCTTTGATAGACAAGGCCTGGTTGTGCCATCTCTCTGTTCTCTTTGCCGTGAGACCAGCGTGTCTCGGTGAGGGGAGCTGCTTCTGCCTTGGTGGCAGAGTGAAGAGGACATGGAGGCCAGTCACAGCTCGCCTGCAAGGAAACAAACAGGAGTCAGAAAGAAACCTTTCCCCAAGGTCATTGGCCTCCAAAATACTGATGCTATTTGTTGCTGCAGCCTAATTTAGCCTGAACTGGTATATTACAATTGTTGTACTGTATCTTTTTCTTACATGGAAGAGGCAAACCTTCACCAGAGATTATTGCTTCAAATAAGGCATTTTCTTAAGGTATTTAAGTTTGACCGTGTTGACCCTTTATTTTTTTTAAATCTCCAACCCTTTGTAGAACATGTGTTAAGGCCTGGACATCTGGAGGTTTAAAATAATCCAAGTCCCGGACCCAGCCTTCGGGAGTCTTAGGGTAGGATGCCATGTGTCCCAGTAACTACAGGACAAGGCAGAGGGTCAGCGCCCCAGGAAAGGGCCACTTTGATAATCCGTGAGCTGTGCTCATGCAGGTGTCCTCACTTTGTTGTATTGCCACTCTTAAGATGTTCTTTGTGTCATTGCCTTATGTTAGTCAAGCTTTTCTTCCCCTTTCCTCTTCTTCCTGAGCATGTATTTATAGAGATTTTATGTATTTATTTTTAGAGAGAGGGTAAGAGAAGTAGAAAGAGAGGAAAAGAAAATTGATGTGAGAGAAAAAATAAATCGATCAGTTGCCTCTTGTAAACACAAGATCCAGGACCAAACCTTCAACCCAGGCATGTGCCCCAACTGGGAATTGGACCTCGACCTTTTGCTTTGCGGGACGATGCCCTGTGGGGCCACACCAGCCAGGACAGCATGTATTTCCTACACCGTTTAATTTGTCACACATGGTGGATTTCCTTATTCTCAGTTTGTGTTCTTAGTGAAACAACTTATACTGGTTCATTTGGTACTTTAGGCTATATGGCCTTTCTTTTGGCATATATTATAAATTCTTTGACTTTACAGTTGACATATCTTAACTGTTCCCCCATAATATAAATTGCTTAACACACTATTACAAACAAATTAAACTCTTAGTAAATTATTGACCATTTTATTTGATTTTTCCCCCTGATGTTATTGGTTCTTTTCTTCATGACACATGAATTGCCATTTATTGTTAGAGTTCTCTTTTCCTTTCCTTTTTTTTTTTCTTTATGGTATCTGACATGTTTAAGGCTATGCATGGGAGAACCAGTGTATCTTGGCTTAGTAATGCATTACCTCAATTTGGAATAATCTGGAGTTTGTATATCAGGTCCTGTGCCTCGTAATCCGCCGGGTGTTCAGGAGACCTAACCTGATTTTATATTCCTAGTGTCTCGTCCTGGCTTCGGACCAGGAGCGAAACCAAAGCGCCTGGAGGTCTGACGCGCAGTTTCTAGGTTAAAGCAATAACAAAGCTGCTCCCTTCCTTTATGAATTCAGCTTGTTTTCTGTCTTGTTATTTCTGACCACTTATTCGCTTTCATTTCAAAAGGCGCAGGATGAATTTATTCTTAAAGTCCCATCTTGAACCAAGGGCTTTCAGACCTTTTTGTCCAGCACTCACAGAAAGAAATGGTTGCAGCCTCAGTCGGTCAGGAAGGAGCGCCCAGAGCCACTGTGGCCTACTGGTAACGGTCTGCTCTTCAGGTTGGGTGGTGGGTTCATAACTATTGACGTTGAAGTTATTTTTCCTGACAGATATATTGAATATATTCTCTTATGTGTGTTAAGTACTGCATAAGCAAAAATGTTTTTAGCCCTGGCTGGTGTAGCTCAGTGGACTGAGCGCGGGCCTGCGAACCAAAGGATCACAGTTCAATTCCCAGTCAGGACACATGCCTGGGTTGCAGGCCAGTTTCCAGCAGGGGACTCATGAAAGGCAACCATACACTGATATTTCTCTCCCTCTTTCCTTCTCTTTGCCTCTAAAGATAAATAAATAAAATATTTTTTAATGTTTTTAAGTGTAAAGCACAGTGAATGACGTTAAATGCATTGCCCGACTTACGTTGGCAGAACTGAGTCACATGAGTGAATTATTTTTGTGTTAGTGAGTTTCTTTGTAACACCTTAGAAGGCATTTTCATAGGTAGTACTCTTTTTATTCAGTAGGGCAAAAGAAACTTTTAATGAAGATGCTATTTAATGAAGATGCTATTTATTTAATGAAGATGCTATTTATTTAATGAAGATGCTATTTATTTAATGAAGATGCTTGATTTGCCAGGTGATCTTCATGTAAGCTAAATGAAGGATCAGTAGAGTTTTAGGCTTGCTGAGAAATACATTCTTTTGCTCTGCCACAGAAAAGTCCCTTCTCAAGAAGATTCAGGAAGTTAGTATCTGACTGGAGACTGTGACGGCCCACCAGTCCCTCCCTGCGCAGCAACCTAGACATTCACAGAGTCTGAAACATGAGCTCTCTGCCTCCTCAAATGTAACCCCACTCCTACCCGGCTACCGTAGTAGACATTATAGTTTCCGCGTTGGGGTCAAACATATATGCCTTTGAATCTGGCTTTCACTGATCTTGACAATTGATTTCAGGCACCAAAACCTTCTTGACCCCCCAGTTTCCTCATGGATTTAGTGCAGTTTTTAACACCTGTCTTGCTGTGTCACGTACAAATTAAATGTAAAACAATGTGTGCACCGTGCAAGCCACTGTCACCACTAGATACAGAGTAAATGGATCACATTGAGCATCTTTTTCTTGTTCTAGGTGGAATCTCAAATACATTTCCCTATAGGAACAATGTTATGAATGGGGTTTGAGTATAATATTAGAAATATCAGCCCTGGCTGGTGTAGCTCAGTGGCTTGAGCACGGGCCTGCGAACCAAAAGATCATGGTTTGATTCCCGTCAGGGCACATGCCTGGGTTGCAGGCTAGTTCCTAGCAGGGGTCAGTTCCCAGCAGGGGATGCACAAGAAGCAACCATACATTGATATTTCTCTCCTTCCCTTCCCTTCTAAAGATAAATAAATTAATTAATTTTAAAAAATATTATTAACATTATCCTTCAGATAAGTCATGAGTTTAGTAGGCCTTTAAAGAGTGGCCAGAGAAACTGGTCTCCACATTTCGTCTCTCACAAAATGCACTTTAAGTACCACATAAGAGATCATTCACTTAAGACTCGAAAAAGTGAGCTTTTAGAATGTAATTTATTAACCAGGTTCAAGACTGCTTAGATAAGCTTTCACAGTAGATATAAAGTGGGTTTCTTGATTAGTGGTGGTATTTATGGGCAGGCAAACAAGCCCTCCATCCCACTTCAGGGAAATTGACTGCCCTCTGGAGAACTTACTGGTTTTCCTGCCAGTCCAGCTATTAGTGCCAGTGTGGAACAGCCAAACATGGGACCGTGGCCACTAGGGTGGGTGCCTGACCCCAAGCTGGAAGAGTGTGATTTGTTCTGTTGAGAATTTTGAAAACTATAACTGTCAAATAGTCCCTTTTTGTGGCATGGCAAGGAGTTAAGTGTCAGAAGGCAGAGTTCAGGAAGGAAGAGCGAAGCCCAGCTGTAGAAGCGAAGATGCCATCTTGTCCTGACGGAGCTCCCTCTGAGCTGATCCTAAAGCTCAGCTGGGGCTTTCCTGTTGCTGGGTTATTCAGAGTCAATGCGTCCCACCTCGCTTTCACTGGTGTTGCTTCAAGTGCCCTTTCTGTTAACAAGTTAAAGAATAGTGCTGACTAATTCATTTGGTTGTTTATACTGGGAATATTTAAGAAGTCAGTGTCTTTGTCATGGGCAATTATAATAAATATAATTGCACAGTAGGATAGATTTATGGCAGAGCTTTTTGAGAACAGTGGTAGCATTTATTCCCATCTCATAAAGTATACATAAAATATGTATTAGCACTAATCACAGGATACTAGTGACTGTGCATGTGTGTATAAGTCTTTTGACAGAGGCTTGCTCTAAGGCAAATGTCATATAACTTTTGATTTTAAACCACGTAAACAAATGGATACTTAAGATGTTTCTAGTAGTTATGAGTGACCTTGAAGAAGTGCCCTTTGCTACCATTTATGGTTGGGAGCACTTGTACAGTAATCAGGTAGGTGTCCATAGCTATACCATGTGCATTGAAAGAGACATTTCTATTTAAGGAGGAACTGGTACTTTGTCAAGATTATCAAATATGTACATTTGTGTTCCTTACATGAAAGGGAAGATAGGATGACTTAATGCTTTTCTTCTCTTCACTAGGTTAGTGTTTGGGGAACTGAGATTTTGTGTGACAACAGGCTTGTAAACTTTACTTCCCTTTAGGAGCTATCAAATTTGCACTTTTGGTAGTAGCATTCTGTATTGTTGGAACGTGTCGTAAAGAGCAAAGACACGTTATCTGCCACTTGCGTCCTGCTTGCCAGCCAGTTTGAATAGCTATAATATTTGTTTATTCTTGATGTGTCACGCAGTCAGAAGGAAAGTTTTACTTTCTCTTTTGTGATTGTTATATAACTCATACTATTATGTCAACAATGACTATTTATTCAGAATCTACTAGATCCTGGGGAGATAGAAGGCCCTAGATGGATTTTTGTCACCTGGTGAGAAAGAAAATTCAGCAATCTCAAAAAGAAGTAAGGTCCTAAGGTTCTGTAAGTCAGTTTTGAGGTGGGGATACAAAGAAAAGGTCAGTAGGCATTCAGAGGGGCAGAGTGCCCCAGGGCGTCAGCCAGTGAGAAGGGTTTCAGGAAAAGCAAGGGTCTGAGTGTTCTGGAAGGTGAGGACTGGTAAGGAGCGTGAGGGAAGGTCGTCCCACGGAGGGCACCGTGTGGGCTCAGGTGTGCGGGTGGTAATGTGCGCGCTGCCTTAGGGGACACCAAGTGGGTTGGGTGGCTTATTTTGCAGAAGGTTTTTTTTTAAGTAAAAGGTGGGTTTTGGGAAGGTGGAGGCCAACTTTTGAATCACTAAGCATCATTGAGCCTGTGAAGTAATTGTCACTTTTCTAAAATTGTGGAATGACAATCATTGTATTATACTTTGCATTTTAACTTCAGGCAACAAAGAGATCCTCAAAACTGTTATCCTTTTTCTATTGTGAGGATGCTCTAAAATGTTGTTAATTGCATCCTCACATCCAAAGGATAAGAATTATTGTAAACGTCTTCTAAGTGCTTTCGGTTATGATTTGCCAGTGAACATATTTACAAAGCCCTCCTCCTTCCTCAGTGGAGCACCCACTCTGTGAATGTTAAGCCTTGACTGGATTCCAGACAATAGAAACAAATGTGATTTTCTCTCTCTCCCGTAGGTGCTAGGTTTCTCTTTCTCTTTCATCTATCCCAGTGTATCTGTGGCTGCATACACACATACAATTGCATTTTTCAGAATGTAGTGGTATGAAATTTATTGAGCTATTCATATACACATAGGTTTTATATATGTAGTCTTCTCATATAAGACAGCTGCTGGGTTTTTTTGTGTAATCAGTTTGGCTAGTACAATATAATCAGTCATGATAGTTTTGTAAGCAGATAATTGATGTGCTTAAAAATACATATTTACTTATGTGAATGTTTGAGGAAAGTTGCCTGTAAAGCAAATGTTTTTATTTTGATCTCTACTGTGAAACTAGGTTGTGCAATTGATAGAGAGAGTAAAGGTTCATGACAGGATATCATGCTGGACTTTGACATGTATCTTGTGACGGTGACACTGTCCTGGGAGCACAGGGTGAGAGACCTGGCAGCTGGAACAACAGTTCAGCGGACATGCACCGTCAGGACCCTGGCATGAGGGGATGAGTGCCTGGACCAGCAATGGAAACAATGGCCCAGAGGTGAAACACACTAGGAAGCTGTCGTCATCCCTGGTGATAGTGAATTGTCATGAGAGAGGGAGCTCAGATGATTCCAGAACTTAACTTAGACTGTGCAGAACAATAAGATTACCTTTGTGAGGAATATGAGAGTCAAGAAAGATTTGTCAGCTTTGTATCATCTAAGAAATAGGACCAACTTAATGTCTGTTGCTAAGGGCAATGTTAACTCTAGGCTTATCTTGTGCCTGCCTTTTTAAAATTTATTTTTAAAATATTTTTTAGAGTTTTGCTTTAACTTTATTTTTTTTTAGTTACATTTGACATACAATATCATATTAGTTTCAGGTGTACAAGCTAGTGATTAGACATTTATATACCAAAGGAAGTGACCAATCTGGTAAGTCTAGTACCCACCTGGACCCATATATAGTTATTACGATCATATTAACTCTATTTCCTGACCTGTGCCTTAGAGCTGGCCCTTTTTGACGATAACTTCGTCTTCCAAGTAGAAGAACTCTTCGGGGTCTTCAGAGAGAGATGAAGCAGCTCGCCTCGGCCGCAGACCTGGCCACCCACGGGCAGAGCTGGGACCTGGACAGTAGCTCTCAGCTCCTGCTTCGGTTTTTCCTAGTCTTCCATGCTGCTTTGGAGGAAAAAAATAGCATTTTACTTATTTATATATCTATTTTTAAATTCTGTTTTATTTCCATTTTCATGTATCCCCCTCCTACCTTCTTCCAGCTCCGCCCGCCCCCTCGTCCCCCACCACCGCCACACTGTTGTCTGGGTTCACGAGTCCTTTTCTTTTTCGTTCCATTCCTCCACCTCCCAGCCTCCCCCATCAGAGCTGGCGGCCTGCTCTCTGTCTATGAGTCTGTCTGTATTTTGTTTGTTAGTTGTTTGTTCATTAGATTCCACATACGAATGAAGTCATATATATCTGACTTTCTCTGACTGACTTATTTCACTGAGCATAATATTCTCCAGGTCCATCCATGTTGTCACAAAGGATAAAATTTTCTTCCTTTTTACAGCCAAGTAGTCTCTCACTGTGTAAATGTCCATAGCTGTTTTGTCCACTCCCACATGGATGGACACTCGAGCTGCTTCTATATCTTGGCGATTGTAAATAAT